TATCGACGTTCGTAATATTCCTAAACGACGCTTACATATTTATCAGTCAGGATATTTCCACTTTTATTTAACTTCCATCGAATCGCAAGGATCAAAGAATCGAAGACGGCGATTCTCGCTTCTTCTTCGCGACCTTACGAAAGAGATGAAAGAAGTACCTTCAGACAGATAACTGGACGACAGTGTTAAAGGGCATTTTTGAATCTCCCTCGAATCCCAAGGATTTCCTTCTTTCTTCTCGTTCCTTTGTTCGGGTAGAAGGCACGGTCACTTAGGAGACAAATATTCGAGCAATAGCCAGTTGGTGGAAAAGTTCCAACGATGTCGTCGGAATTTTGAAAAAGAAAGAGGCGAAGAAGGAGGAGGAACGAAAGGTCGTTTCTGTGTCTCTTTAAAGAGGGCAGAACTTCCGAGGCAGTCCTTCGAAAGACAAATTCTTTCGCGCTTGAAAAAGTTCCGGTCGTTCAGAGAACAAGGGATGGAAACGGAGAAACGACTGTAACTGCATCTTCATCCCTGTGGCGCTCCTCGGATCAAGGTGTAACAGGTGAGCCGTCAGAATTCCAGCGGACGTTTCTCGACATGTTGACCCACGCGTCTTTTCTCCTTTCCAACCGTCCAAGAGACGAACTTCCGCATCCGATATTGTACCGTGAACAGTAGCATTCAAGAATTTCTGCAATTCCTTCATGAATATATTACGCGTTATACGAATGACGTAACCTTTATGAATATACGATGCGTAATACGAAACATTTCGAAATTGTATTAGTAGTGTTACGATACTGGATTACCATAGTTATACTGGCGAAGTTTGAAACAAATCTAAAACTACATATGGAAATTACAAGATATTTGCCACGAATGTGTATTTCGTAGAGATTACAGAAATATTTATACTATCGATTATCTGATATTGTGGTATTTGTTATAAGATCAAGACGATTGTTCATGCTGTGTACTGATGTCGTACTCGATATGCAATCAATATCTTGTCATTTGCATATGAATTTTCAGATTGCTTTCAAATCTGCCAAATATAATCGTACCAATCGTGTTTCATTATAAATCTGCTGAAATATTTTTTTATTATTTAATTTGTACTTTACAATTTGTCCAGCTGGACATTTGGTAAATTTTTCTAACTTAACTGCTAAATAACATGTGGATGGCTACCACCAGCGGGATATCATCTTCGAGTTTGACTATTTTATTTCTTTAGTCAGGGCAGTGGGGTGTTTTCTCTTTAGTTTTCTTTCTATGACAGTTTTGCTCGCTTCAGCAGCCAGCTGGTTTGGATGTGCTACCATTCTTTCCTTGTATTAAGTTGTCCGAAAAGTTTCTTTCGTTTGATAAGGAAATAATAGACGCACAATGTTTTTTGTTTTATATTAGTTTATCGAATTATGTACGAACATAATAATAGAAATAGAACGAAATGGATCATACCTAATTCAATAAAATAATATAAAACAGAAATTATTATTCATCTATTATCACCTTATGAAACTAAAGAAACTTTTCGGACAATCGAATATATCTGCTGAAATTTCAACATGTTTTCGTATATAACACGCACGATATTACACATACCTAAACATTTTCTATGCTAAATATTCAAATATTCTCGCGAGCCACTGTATCTCGGGTTTCTCTATGAACAATGCTAGTCACTTGAATGCCTTTCTTACTTTTCTCTTAACAAGGATAACGTGATGTAAATGGGCGGTCGGAATGGACGATTACCGCGAATGACTAAATACAAAGGTGCGTTTCAAGATGACTCGCGTAGTCCGACAGTTTTCATTGCTTAATCCTCCTTGGTTTCACTTTTTACGAGTCCTTCGAGAGTCTTGTTAGCAAAATGAAGGTTTCTGGAAAGCGGTCGAGATAAGTCGCTTATGTAATTGCAACGAGGACAATTTTTGCGAGCTACGCACCGCACGGGCCAACGCCAACGTACGAATTAAGTGAAATGGCTAGGAAAGTTTCGTTCGCTCGATGTTAATGCGCGTCTTTAGGGCCGTTTTCCACGGTGTACGTCAGACTCTGATAACGCGGATTACCTGGGGATAGAGGGAATTTGAGATGGCTAGTAACGCGTTCGAATTTCACTTTGAAGCCTTTGTGCTTTGTCCTTTATATTCGCGTCTCTATATTCCACAGTATTCTTACTTCCTAACTCCTTTCCAACATTTCTTTGTGATCGTTGAATTTTATTTCCGATGATTAGATTGTGGATTTCGATGGAAATTTATATTTTCGTGCATTTAAATGAGTAGAATCTAAACAATTAAAAGAGCAGAATCTAAACGGAAACGTCCGATTTTGATAACTGATAAGACATATTGCTATTCTTTGAATATTTTATACGTTTTTGCAGATCGTGTGCATTCTTCTTTCAAATTTCAATTTTGAAGCCCCTGCGTTGCTGCTTTCCTGTCTTCGTATTCTACGAATTTGTTCAACTTTTATCGCTTTTATCGTCTTTCGCAAATACAACGGCGAATAAAGAAAAAGTTTTAATTTCATATTCTATGAATTTTAGTAACTTTTGTGATAAAAGTTTCTTACCATTGGTAACAGTCATCTACTCGCTGGTATTATACGTTGCTCGCATTAAATACAAATTTATTTTATGAATTTAGGCTGTCCTTTTTATACTTCTCAGCCTCTGTCCGCTACTGTACTATATACCTTCGCTAAATATTTAGCAACTTCTACGTGCACATATTTGCGAAAGTGCGTCAGACTTTACCAATATAATCATAACGGTCTCGTTCCATTTTCATCGGTTTAATGAGAATTTCAGAATGTTTCGTACGAAACACACGATATATTCATAAAACGTTTCTGTATCTGTTTCAATATTTTCCGCAGCAACTGTACGTCGTCCTAATCTGCGTACCAAGGGGACTGACTGCTTTACCTCTTTTCCTTCTTTCGCAACCAACTCTCCTTCTTTTTCTCGTCTTCTCTTTAGTTTCTTTCTCTTTTGTCTCGTCTCTGCCCGCTCCTTTCTACCGGTTGTTATAGATGTACCTGCTAAAAAGGCTCTACGAGGATCCGCCTTTCGTTTCATCGCGAGAGAAACAAACGAAACTGCAGGAAATCGCCTTTGCCGCGATGGTCCTTCTTTTCCTTTTCTGCGATGTCCTTTCCTCTTCGTCTTCTTTTATCACTTCTGTTCGTACCATCTCCTTTCGCTGATTCAGACTAGACAATTTCTGCGCCGCTCGCTCCAATTCGTTTTCCACGGAGGATGAAAGGAGTCTCCTTCCACCCTGGAGACTGGTCTTGGAAAAAATGGCCTGTTGTGGCCAAAAGCGAGTCCTTTTTGCTGCATATGTACATATGTTTGTATGTGAAGCGAGGTAGCTCGGCGATGAGAGGTGGAATATCGTGAGACGAGACGAAGACGAAGGTGCACAGTTTAGAGTTTCTTATCGTATAAATTATTATTATGCGATTATTAGAAAATATGGACAGATTAACTGTTCCATTAAATTCCTAAACAAAAAGTAGCGAGTCGTCCATCGAGTCAATTCGATCGGAAATATTATCTAGACCAGTTAGAGTCTCCGAATCCGCAGAAATTGATATAAAAAAACCTCAGACTTTTACTTGAAAAATCCAACATATAGAATGAACAACATCGCCCAATCACTTTGAATATTTCAATTATTTTTGATCGTAAGAAAGAATGTCAGAGAAAAGAATTGTTTGTTTCTAAGGAGCAAATATTACAAAGAATCAAACATTTTTCTTTCTGAGATTTCAAGGCCATCGATATTTTCCAAACAAAATTCCATATTTCCATCATCATGGCGTAATGATCGACATCATATCCCAGCAACTTCTATGTATTCCACGTCCAACGAATCTCACTATAATACTCACTATAATCGCAAAAAATAGAAGAAAGAAAAATGTACGAATCACCAGTGAAAACTTGACGGTTAGCCATCTCTTTAACTGTAGTGACTGGTTGTTCGTAGCAACCACTTGCGGCCGCGCGACTTTCTGCAAACGAGTTTCCAAGTCCCCGCCGGTGGGCAAAGGGAATCGCGAAATTCCACAGGTGCTGCTCGCTGTGGAAACCTCTCCAATTTTTCTCCGCCTTTTTTCACCCTTTTCCATTCCCTTTGTGTTTCCCTATTTCTGCGCTCCTCGATCTCCGCTTCCATGAGATGTCGATGGTGAAAACAGAATTTCTGTTTGACGTTTCAACATCGATCTTTTCCAGTTAAGGAAGGATAATAATGTTGAAGCTTCCAGTCGATGTTTAATCTTTGCAACGAGTGGTACTAAAATTCTTCCAGCTTCTCTGATTTCATCCTTTACAGCTCACAGTACTCGTTCTCTTATTATTAGAATACATCTATGAAAATGGCGACTGATATTCTGAACAAATATAAAGGAAGCTGAACTCGATTTCTTTTTTCGTCCGACTGAGCTAAATGATTAAATTAGAACAGACTTAGCAACTGCTGACTAGTAGATTAGGATCATTCAAAGTTTCCAACATTTTTCATTCTTTGACCGTTTGAGTCGCAGGGGTCTTTGGAAAAACATGGTCGAAAAGTGTCCAACAGCGCGATAGCGCTTGTCTTAATCGATTGCAATGAGAAACAAGCGGCATAATAGCTTGTCATATTTGTTATTTTTATGAAATACATCTATGCAATGTTGTAATATTTTTGGAAATCAGGCGATCGATTCGTGAAACTCAAAAATCGATTTTCTAAGTCTTCTTCTGTATCTCCTAAAAACTCTCTGCTTCTAATCTCTCTTCTCTCTCCCCTTCTAACTTTTAACTTGCTTTCCTTCTTTTTTTCCAATCTTAGCTTCTTGAAATCCTGTTTTATTCTCTCTCCTAAGTCCCAGTCCTTCACTATTTATATTGTTCGACCGACTCCCAGTAAACACAAGGAAAGTCAAACCGTCTGTTGTTGTTCGAAATTCTATAGAATTTACATCTATATTCTGCATATTATTAGTTTATAAGTATTTCAAGTTTTGTTTCAAGACAGCAATGAAATACAAAATACGTCAGTCGTCCATTAAAATGTACTGCGACATTTCGATACAGAATTTAAACAACGCGATCGCGCTGCTTGACACTCACACTTTTAAATTAGAATAGACTTCACGACTTCTGATTAGTAGATTAGGACAATTTAAAAATGTAAGAAAGTAATAAATCAATAAATATAAAAATATTCTATTATTACGTATTTTTTAAAGACCAGTCATTTTGGCTGGTTTTGGTAGAAATAACTTCGTGTTAACTATCGCTGCTTCTAATATTAAGACTATAACTAAGTCAGTATTATTTAGTACTAAAATCATAAAAGTGAAATTTTCTATACTGTCGCTATACAAATGATAATATAAATAACAATAGATTCCAATATCGTTCAGGGAGATGAAAATAAAGAACCCAAAGATCAAAATTCAGTTCGTCGACTGGGAAGAGCGATCCGTAACACGAACCCAGGGAAAAGCAGCTCGGATCGTGGAAATTCGTCACCGGTGAAATTCAGCGCGCACAGGATACACGCGTTTCACAGACACGCTAAGTGCACCTAAGCAAATGCTTTCCTCTTTTCCCCGTAGAACGTCGCGCGTCGCGAGGTTTACGTTTCGGCTCGTCCGTTTGCATTCCGTTTCGCCGTTGAATATTCCAGCGAAAGAACCACCCACCCTTCGCTTCTTTCTAACGTTGAGGTGAAACCGCGCCAGTCTGACACACAGGGGTTGAACATTCGTGGGCGGTTTTGAAGGAAACGAGCGGAGGCGGAAGATGGCAGCAACATCTCCGAAGACGTTTGAGAGGCAACGTGCATAATTCAACTGTAATGCTGTGAGTGCGCGGGAATGTACACTCTGGTGAATTCCATCAAGTCGAAAGTTTCCCAGTGTTATTACTATTTACCCAATTCTCAAGGCACGCCATGGCTCGCGGCGCATCGTTTTATTAGACGATTGACTTCCGAACAATTTGCGAATGCCGCGCCGTTTCAAATTCCAGTGTACGAGCGGACTCGGCTAACGTGTTTGCTTCTCTGCTGCTGAAATGACACGTTCGATGATGTTTTCACTAGTAGCAGTTAGTTGCGAGTCCGACGAGTTCTTTGAGTTCCTCATTGGTGCAATTTGTCTTTTGAAACTACTACCATTTATCTTAAATCTTTCAAGTTATTTAAGTGTCTTCCTGTAAGTAAAATTTCACTAACAGAAAGGAAAAGGACGAAAGAAAAGCAGAGTTTTATGAGGAAGTAATAGACACGCAACGTTTTTTGTTTTATATTATTTTGTCTAAAGATCCATTTTATTCTGTTGAGATAAACACCGCGACATTTCACAGGCTTGGTTTGTATAAAGGTGCACTGTTGTAAAAAACACGTTTGCGAAGGAAAGATACTTTTCGGACAACCTAATAGAAAAACTGGGAGAAATTTCCAATAGCAGAAACATGATTCCGAGGCAGCGCTATAGAACTGTGCAACTGCTTCTGCATAAAATTTCATTAACGAGAAGAAACGTAAGGAAATAATATAAAAAAGATGCGGATACCTAGCGCTCTTATTCGAAACCAAAATGAAATAATTTATTCTCAACAGGAAACAAAATTATTCCCATGCAAAACTACTTTCTCAGAAATACATTTCGCTGGGACATTTCGATTACAATCTCGTACGATAGAATTTAAATAGAGTCTAAATATCAAACGATAGAATAACGATATAAAATCGAATCTTCTTAACAAGTAGAAATAATGAAAGAAAATACAAACAAAATTTCGATATTCCGCTGCGTTGAGCAAAATTAAAAAAAGGAACAATTTCCCATATCAACGAAATCATTCCGATATCTCTCTAAAATTCTCAACAGCTTCCCCATAAATAGATGTACGGAACATTGCGATTACGAAACGCGCCCTGGCCGTCTACGTACTTAGCCTCACGTAGCTGTATCAATGGAAGGATAATAACTAAAATGGCTGGCGATCCGGACCGATCGAAACAGATCGTGGAAGCATCGGAATGAACATTCGTATGCGGGAAATCGGTCGGCCGTATAATTCAGCGGTAAAGGTTGGTCGCAGCCAGACAGTGGAGTTGCCGTGTGCATGGTCAGCCTGGCTGTATCCGCCGCGAACTTTCCACTATTATCACTATTTGTCCGGCTGGCCCGCTATACGAGCAATAACTTTCCTGTTACTCGGCAGCTGCACGTGACGTACCAACGACTGTTTCTGCCTTCCTAAAGGATCGTCATTCGCCAAGCTCGCCCGACCATTCGCCTTTAATTAGCCGAGCCTGACTGAAATTCTTTTGAAATCGACCACGGCCGCGCTTAGAATTAAGCTTTCAACTGTATATTTGAAGGCCGATGCCTGGCTGTGGAATCTTATATTCTCTTCTGTTAAAAAAGAAAAGGCGTCTTTCTTCTTAAAGAGAGAACGCGTTCTTCGTCTTTTCTCTGTTCTTTGCCCTTTTAGAATTTGTCTTCTTTTCGCGTTTTAACGAGGTAAGTAAAAAGGATGGAAAGTCGAGCCCCTTTGAGACCAAAGGAGTGCGCTAGCTGACACGGTTTTACTTTTCATTTGAATATCTTTAAAACCATCCGAGAGTCGTCTATTTACGTGTTTGCGCGTTTCCAGCATCTTTTTATCTATCCGTTAACATATCCTTGAGATCGAGGGAACGTGCAAGAGATGACGAGTATAGTTCTAATTTATTAAATTATAAATTATAGTTGTAGTTTAACGGTTGTCCTTCAATGCTGTTTGTATGATTAATTTCATAGAAGCTTCAGTTGCTAACACGTCGTCGCAAATAAACGTGATTAGCATTTAGTAACGAGATCTCGCGAAATTTGAAAATGACGGATCGCAGCAAAATTACATTTCTCAGGTTTATTTCCCGAAATTTTCATGAGACCTGCTGATGTATTCCGTTACAAATATTTTTGCGTATTTGTCACATATCTTGTCACATAAACATTTGCGAACAAATAAAAGCCCAATTATACATATTAAAGAATAATATTGAATCATCAAATACTATTCAACATACTTAACACTTTGATTACTGCGATGGGCTAACAATGATCCACTTTTTGGCTATATTTTTTAGATCGATTAAAATAATGCAAATTTCATCGACTAAAAAGTGTTGCGAATGACTAACAATGCGAATGACTTAGACAACTTGGAATGTTCGGAGAAAAAGCACACAAATACCATTTTATTTATAAAAACGATATTATCGTTATATTTGGCAAAAATGACTATCGTAAATACTGTCTAACATTGCGTCTAACATTTTGCAAAATTAATCTACACTTCAACGTATTGCAACCTCTAGAACAAAATATACAAAGTTCGTGTGGCAGTCGGCGTATGATCTCGGAAAATCTCGACGACGACGTCAATGACCTTGGTGCCGCCATTATCGCGGCGAATCCTTCAAGAGAGGCCCCGATCCATGTTCCGTAAAATTGCTCGTTCTTTCCTCCGAACAAGCAAAGTTAACTCCGTCGGCAAGTGTGGTAGTGGCCTGAAATGTAACTCACGACTCTTGGCTCTTTGAACGACATCCAAATGTGTACACTAGCTATCTTTCTCTGTCCCTTTACCTGTGGCACGTGATGCGTGAACCAGCAAGATGTCAGGTAACCGGGCCGACTTGAAAAGCGGAAACGTAACCGGAGACTATTCAGACGTGTCCAACGCAAATCGTTAATTTAAGAGGGGAGAACTAGTTTGGCTTAAATATTGACTTTCCTTAGTTAACGCGAAGCCTCTGCCTCTCAGCAGTAGTAAGGTCGCGTGTGTATTCAGCCCTGCTTGGACGAGACTGACTGTGCAAAGAGGAGACTAGGCAATGGAGCGAGGGAAACAGGGAACGAGAGGATCATAGAAAGAGAGAGAGAGAGAGGGACGAAGAAAGGTACAAGGCATTTTGGATATCTGTACAATGTGTCTGGATGGTTATTGTCGGTTTAAATACGGGTTTATACTACTGATTGCATGGTATGATGTTCTGCAGTTGAAAAATCTTTGTGGAAAATTTTTTAGAAAATGGAAAAGACAGCAATTTGGGACCGTGGAGTCGTTTCTCTTAGAATTCAGAATTACAAACCTTGGAATCTTTGGAATACTTATCTCTTGTTAATTTTCTTATTGGTTCGAAATCAATGTCGAAGACTCGATAATTGTAATTCTTCTTTTTTCTTCAAAACTACGAAGTTCGGCTAATTATTACTATTAAATATACATACTATGCACTAACTACTCTTAACTAAGTAGTACGCGCCGTTTGTAGGTGAACTAGTAGTTTGGGACCGTATGTGGTAGGGCACATACCAGGAAAGTAAAATGGAACAGTGGCAGTCAGACGAGTAATATAGAATCGTGTGTAAGTGGGCTGGCATTGTAACATCGTCTATTGTAACACAACCACAGGTCGTTTACGGTTACACACACATAATAGAACTACGTATAGTTAGGTAGTCCATTGTTGAACAAGTAGAATAGAGGCAGCTATTGTTGTACAAGAGACTGTATACGGTTGAGCAAGTAGAATGTACAACTAAGATATGATCAGTGCTGTACAGCCACCGCAACAATACCTTGCATGATTAAACGTGAATTGGGCCCAATTCTGCAATATTTATGCCTCCCTTGGGATGCTACTTGTGCTTATTAACAAGCATTTGTCACTTTAATCCACGTTGATTACCTTGTTAGTAGTAAAACAATTTTTGTACAATAATACAGTTGCCGCGTAAACAAAAATTAAACATCGAGAAGAACTTCAAAAGAAGAAATAAAATAAAATTGATTTTGAAGATATTAAACGTTCGTACGAAATATCTTTTATCTACTAAATTATTTCACGCGTTTTTATTATTTCAAAGATCAATTTCTTTATTACTCTAATAAAACAATAATCAATTTTTCTTGTTATTTCTACTATTATTATTTCAATAATATA